AAACTCGGGAAAAGCAGGTTCACAGGTCCTCATCCAGATTCAATTAGCTTAGGAGCACAAGTAGCACAAGGCCAGTTCATGGTACCCAGTGACACTAAGCTTGAGGTAGTTTGTCCCTTACTGCTTCTGCAGATCAAATGCCAACAAAGGTTATTCTAATTTCCTAGGAAACAAACACTCCTCTTTACTCAAAAGTTTGAATCACTTGAGAACAACTGAGCATACTTTCAACAAGTCACTCTTAAAAGTCTCTTGAAAAAGGAATTATTGTCAGCTGATAGAATTCCTTTTATTGTTAGCTCTTAAGCGGAACAGTAATAACCGGCTCTGAGTAGAACCTCCCAGTATAGCAGTTAGATGAATTTCAATAGCTTGTATTATTAGACCATTTAAAATTTTTCGCCTATATGGATATAAGACATAAGATGTCGGTTTAAAAAGGGTCCATTTTTAAAAGATTGTCTTTTTAGTGCTATACACTTCATTTTACATTTTCAGATCAAATTGAAATAGGTAGCCAAGTTGTCATCTTTACCAGCATTTTGATGAGGTCAACAAGGTACCCTGTCCATGTATGGACATCAGAGCTGTGGGCAGGGGGAGGCCTTTTGTGTGGTTTATTAAGATGTACACATGAGGTTCTATACCTTTTCCAAACTAAGGGGATAAAAGACAAAGATTCTATTTTACCTCTGCTGAAGTCTATTTAAGACTCAATTTTTTCCATAAACTAGGCTTATCTTCAGATAACATCTACTTTCTTTGCAAATCCAGCCCTGCTTCCTGAGCCCTCTTCTGAGTATCTGAAAATTGTTTTGAGTTTTTTTTCTGTTGTTAAAATTACTTCTCTTAGAAAAAGAAATAAATATTAAAAGTTTTTTTTTTTCTATTTCAAGCATGATTCTGAGGAGGAAAAGCTGAATACTATGTGCCAGGCTCTTTGCTAGGCACAACTGTGATTTCATTGATCTCTCTTGTAAAAACCTTATGAGGTAGGTGTTATTTCCATTTTCCAGTTAAAGACACTGGGCCATGGGCAAGTTGATTAATTTTCTTAAGGCCACACAGTTAGCTGAGTTTCATTTCAGCCCTGGCTAAGACATACAGTCTATGCTAACTTTACAACATTAGACCAGTTTCATTTCCCCTATCTTTAAGTATTTTACATAATTCCACAAATTGTAGGAAAATGACTGCTTGTTAATCTTGAGTGTCTTTTGGTTTATTCATTTATTCTTCCTGAATATATGCTGGTGGAAGCTAAGTGTACCCAGATTATTAATTTCTTCAATTCTCCCATACCCATGTTGTGTGAACTTTTTTGTTGTTTCTGTTCATAGTTTTGCTTAAACAAATGATTCATTTTTCAAATTAAAATGCTCTTTACATTTCAGGATTATCCAGCATTTGCTTTTTGCTTTTGTCTTGGCTCAATCAGAATGGATTTTTTTTTTTAAACAACAGTTTCATTTAAAGTAAGGAGAGATTACCACATGTGTTTTCTGCTCCTATTTCTTTATAAAAAAAAAAAAAAGAATTTGCCTCCATTTGGTTTCATGTCACTTACAAATAATTCTTCTCTACTTATTTTTTGGATCTTGCCATCCTGAGTCCTCTGTGCTGCAAAAGGATATCTAGGTTTGGGGGAATTCACAGTTTGATGTCCACACTGAACCGTCAATTCTGTCTATTTAGTGGCTAGGAGAGAGAAGCACTTTCACTTAACCTGATGGTAGTTTTCTACTTAAATGATGCTTTACTTGGTAGGAAAAGTGTTTTGGTTTTCCAGTAAGATCATATAGTGTAGCCTCAATATAAAGCACAGTGACTGACCAAGAGGTAACAATAATTTGTAAAATATCGTGTCAAAAAATATGTTTCAGACTTCCTGTAGCACCTAGCACTATGGAGAAGGTGAACATTTGAGATCAATCACTTAACTGTCAAGGAAGGGAGTTGGAGTTAACAGTGTCTAAAGCGAAGGACAACGCAACGCCATACTCATTTCCCCTTGCAAACACGGTGGGGATTCTTTCTCAGGCCTTGTGCAGGTGGAATGCTTAGGATAATACACGCAAAGGCATTACAAATTCTTCTTATTTTAGGGAAGGCAAGACCTCCTTGACAGTTATGCAGCATCAGCAAAAACAGGGTCCAAAACAACTGTGCATCACACAGGGAGCCAGTGAAGGCGAGGGAACTGCGAGCAGGTGTTCGGCTGCCTGGTGAATGGTCCATTTAAAAATTCAACAATGGTCAGAGGGGAGCAGAGAGTACAACAGCCACCACCATGACTGGTGAGACCAACATTTCCCAATTCAGTGTAAACTCTTGCCTTGAAAGAAGGCACGCTACAAAGCAGATTTTTATAAACCCAGTACATCATTTGTTCTCAACAATATTATTCATAAAGTGTGCTCTTCAGGAAAAAAATCTCTGAAAGAACCACTCATGCAACAAAAACCAGGGCTGCTTCCATGTCAAATCTCCCCACAAGATATTAATCATTAGCTAGATGAAATAGGCAAAAGCAGCTTTCTCACTGCAGAACTAACTAATTATCTTTCATAACTCTTTTGAAAAGCAAATGTAGATGTAAAAGCTCAAGTGAAAAACATGTTAGATGCATTTGTGTCTAGACTTTGCCAAGAAAATAAGGGAGTTTAAGTGCCCAAAATCAAAAGATCTTACTAAACTAGAATTTCAAATCAAGGTTTAAAAAAAAAAATCAGCCTCCTATTTTAATGCATCTTGTCTTTAGAATTTTATGTTTATACAATCAGCTGAGGGTGAACGTTGCTGTATTTTCAAGATGTACATGCATCCTATATGGTGAATAGCACCAACATAGAAAAGTTATAAAAATAAAAAATGCTTTTCAGGCATCCTTTCCTTTAAATTGCTGCACATTCCTATAAACTGCATCATATGAACACTATTGGAAAGCAGATCAAGCACACAAGGATATCTTTACTACACCAAACGAAAACCTTTAACACAGGGTGGGTCAAGGGAGCAGAAAATGAAGTCCAAGTGATTATTAGGCACCACAAAGCAGGGGATGCAGGCAACATGTACAGCAAGAAAATATGAGGGGGACAAACCCAAGGCTGTGTGTACAATATATACAGATTTTTTTCACATGTAAATTTTAAAGTGAATGCTGCTATTATACGACTGCATGAAGGAAAGCATAACGAGGCTGCTCTACTTCCCTTTAAACACAAGGCATAAAGAGAGTAAGGGAAGTGAAAAGCCAGTTCTTTGTGCCACGACTTAATCAATCGCACTCAGTTCTACTCAATGACAGAGCCACACTCAGCAGTTAATGGATATAATGCTGGAAAAGCACTTTGAGGTCTTCCAAAGAAAGGTAGGGTAAAAACCCAAAGGAGCATGGTTTCATTACGTAGCCCATAACGGAGCAGCATATGTATGAAATAAGAGACTTAATCTGCAAATTCTCATTCTTCCATAGGAAACCATTTCTCTCCAACACTGAACCCTGAAATCATAGTAGAGTTCTCCCCTGCCCTAGTCTGGTCTTGTCAGGATAACCATTACACACTGCAAGGAATAAATATGTTCTTCAAGTGTTACAGCCTACGCTTACAATCTGTCAAAATGCAGAGCGGAGGAGGAGTTGTGTGTTTTTGACTGTATACATCCATCACTAGCTATCACTGTTCCCACAGACAGGAAAAAGTCAACAATGAAACATAAAAGCTAAAAATAAGTGACTGAGCAATTGCTCAGAAAAGCTTCACATTGGGCACTGGGTTAAATGTACATTCCTTCTCTTTTTGTATTACTGCCAGTTGAAAGTAATTGAAATTAAGAGCTCAGAGGTAGGGATAAAGAAAATAAACCATGCACTGCATAAATATGTAAAAGTTAGAAGAAAAATTTCATGCTCATAACCACACAAAATCAGTGTTCTAAATAACACATGCCCAGAATGCAAGTAATGACTAATATATGTTGCTGCAAATACCATGAAAAAATGACATTTATAGGCACTTCAAATGCTAAAAAAAAACTTAGTGTCATTCCATCTAGGCTGAAAATATTTCTTCATTCAGGTGTTTACATGTTCATTTCCAAGAGCCAATCAAATCAACATTTATTGAAGACTCACTGTGTACAATTTACCACATTCTAAAGATGGAAAATGAGCATGGTTTACAGGCAAGAGTACATTCAAAATGCATATCTGAGTATATATGATTGACAACAGAAAAATATAATTCAAAAGAACACCAGATTCAGAAAAATTTGTAACTCCATGACTTCAATAGGTTTCTTTCTTTCTTTTTTTTTTGTTTTCTTCTCATTCTTAGGAATTTGTTAGGTGAGAAAGGCAGCATAAAAACCTTGAAAATTACAAGTTTGAAATCTTACACGTTCTAAACTACTCTTACCAACAATAAGTTTTTAAACTCTTTTCTAGTTTCAAAAATGATTCATGTAAATCAAGTCTGATAGAAACCATTATATGTAAGTGAGATGAACGAAGTATTTAATTAATACAAATTTATTTTGTAAGTAGAAGTTTATAATATTTACTTTTAAGGTAAATGGGGTTTTTTTGACAAAGGGAAAAACATGAAATAAAGGATTATGAATTACAGTTATATTTTCTTATGAGCCTCAGCATCTGATTCATTTCTGCATTTTGGAATTTTTTGCACTGAGAAAAATCTGATCATATACCTAAGTGATCGCAAATAGTAACATTTAACAGCTCCTTTGCAATCTCGGGTTACTCTCCAAGTGAACAGAGACAGTAGGGGAAGCTTCATCCCACAGTGTGAACCAAAACTCAATAATGTATTAGCACAAATTAACACATCATCAGTGGTCTCAACTATGGTAACATTTTCTATGTCGTACACTTGGCTGTGTGTGTGGTTTTCTATTACAATATTTAAATTCAAATAAAACCTTCAAGAAACCCAAAACTCAGAATGTCCTAGGGTTAGTAAATCTCTCTTTGAAAGCCTGAAAAGCTTGCTAGGACACAGGACACACTAGACTTTGTGTCAGTAGCCAGCCACGCAGGTAACCAAAGCAGACATAGCCCACAAATGCCAGCTGGCACACCTAGGATTCCAGCAAAGTGTGCCATCTGCAGATCTGCTGGCCTTTAGTATCCTTCATTTCCTCCCAATGATCTTGCTCCTCCTCTCCACTGCTGTTCTGGCCCATAGCAATCCAGCCAATCATCTCTTTACGTTTCATAGTACGCCTGTTATAAATGGAAATCATCAATGTGACATCAGAGAGCTGAAAGAGCGCCACCTGGAAAACAAACGTCTCCTTATAAACAGGATTGGGCTGACCACGGCGAATGGATGTCTTGCATCGGGACATCTCTTGGCCCACAGAATTGAGTAGAAAGAGTTTTCCATATGTATCTATGGGAAACAAAACAAAACAAAAGTAGGATTGGGAAACAAGAGAACACCAGTGTTTTCTGTTTTTCTAGTTTAGTTTAATATTTACATGGCCTGCAAATTTTTCCTTTCAATATACTGATCCATACTCTTGGGCCCAGTCCTTGCTTTGGGAGTAACACAGCTCACATAAATTATTAGGGACAGGGATTACTACATTGAATGCCTGATGTTTCATGCCACTCCCTTCCAGCACATTGTTCCTGTTCATTAGAACCTCTACTTGCACAGGGTGTCTACATAGGTGCACAGGTAATGTATGTGTAATGGTGTTGGTGGACCAGTTCTTCACATATATACATATATTTTTTATCTATGTATTTTTTTCATCATCAAAATACTGCTTTGTGACTGAGTTAAAGAGTCATTTCTCTTCTCACTGTCTGCTGTCTGCATATCCTTTGGACCACCTCATTTACTCCAACCCTCCTGCTCTCTTCCTTCCCCTTTCCCTTTGGTGCACACTCTCCACACCCTCATATCCCAACTGATACCCACCTTTCCACAAGTGCTATGAATTAAGTTCCATTTGGATATCACTTTATTCCAGAAATCTTTGCTGACTTCTTTCTCCCACTAGACCTGGTTCAGATAACCCTTCTGAGGCCTCCACCAAAACCTAGCCTATCGCCTGTATCATCACTGATCACTTATTTGTCTGCAAAGACTGTCAATTACCCAATGGTAGAGAGGAACTGCCTGTTCCCATCATGCCCCTGAAGCCTGGCCCAGTGCCTAACATGTGCTCAACCTTCGACAAATATTTTATGATGCATGTTCACGACTAGCCAGAAATATCAACTTTCTTTCTTCTTTTAGTCTCAAGTTTTCAAACTTATGAAAAAAAACCCCTCCTTTTATAACCCCTGCACTGGGATGCTATAAAATAGTGACAAGAATCATATTTTTAGTTGCTTATAGAAAGGAAAGAAAACATCCAAATTTTACCAACGTATATACATAGTCTACTTTTGCCAAAACTCCTAAATGGAAATTATCTCAATTATATTTTATTAAATCACTGAATTTATCATTTTTTAAAAAACTTTTCCCTTAACTACAGTTTTTACTAACTCAGATGCATATCGTACTTTAAATACTTCAAAAGGTTAGGGTGTTTTCCCAAATTCCATCATTCTGTACATTCTTTGCATGTAGGCAGCTAGCTGATTAGTGTTTACAGCTCACTTCCCCACCTAACGACCAGTCAAACTTTTTAAAGTGTAAACCCAGATCTCTGTAATTTACTGTTCTCCCCAAGAGCACTATAAAGTAGGAAACAAATTACAACCTGCAGTTTTCTTTGTATGTTGATCTTTTTCTATTCCGGTTTGATGTGTTATTTTATGCACTTATCTGCTGAGAAACACAAGGTGTGAAATTACACTTCAGGTGTGAAAACACTTCTCTGTCTCAGAAACAGGGCTCTCCACTCTTCAAACTGTTCTACAGAAAGAGCTGTCACAAAACCGACAATGGGGGAGTGAATTAGCATTTCCCTGGCTGTACAGCTACAGGATTCCAAGGAAAAGTCAATCCAGTCACCAACCAACGCTCTGGCAATTCTTCTGCCAGTCACAGCATCAAGAATTGAGTGGATTTTGCAAACAAAGACATGCTCATTTTATAAAGAGCAATTTCAAGCTGTATGCCCTCACAAGAACATTTTCTAATTAAAAGAAAGGCTGCTCACTATTGAACTGCCATTGCTGAAACTGGATGATACACACATGACAATGAAAGAAAATAATTTTATAATCAATCCAGCCTGAGGATACGTGACCCAAGGATTGTTCTAGTTCAAAAAGGGAAGCTTTCATCAACCTGTGCGGACCTTTTAAGGCCAGAACAGAGGCCAGGCTGAGGAAATGCTTGTGTGGAAAAGTATGGGGAGCATGATGGGAGTCTCTTGGGGTTCAGTGACTTACTCTGATGAACATCAGTAAGAATGGATAGAGAAGGAATCCAGTTAAATAAATATCCAGTTTAAATGACCTCTGTTTTAATTCTTTGGAAACTGATAATAGTTGCTACAAAATAACACTGAACAATATTTTATTTTCTGATGATGATTCAGAAGCTTTGTAGTATCTTTAGTAACTTCAAGCCATTATCAAAGGCTGAATGGGTCCTAATCCCTTGATAATTCTGACAGCTACTTTATTGGTCAATTGTCTTGAGCTAAAAGAAGATGCCAATGTGCTGAAACCATATATAATCATATAATCTCCAATTTATCGTGACATAAAAGTGATCATTTGGAACTCAAAAGACAGTTGTCCCAAGGGTCAACGTGGTATTCAGAGGTGTTAATACAGCCCACACAAAATGTCTGTCCTTTCACAGCATAGTATTCTCTAAATTGTACTAGAGACTAAATCTTCAGAGAAAGGTTGGCAGGGAGCATGATTCACAGGGATGCAGGGCAAGGGAAAGAAATTTTGTCATTTCACTTTCCCTTCTCTTTTCATTTATTAATACTTGTAAAAATTTTTAAGATAGATAATAGAAAACAGCATCCACACAGCATCTTGTGATAGCCAGAGTTTTTCATATTTGCTATAGATATTTTCTTGTTTTTGTTTGATTTTTAAAAAGTATTACAATTGAAAAGTCCTTGAGTAACCTTCCTTGGTCACATTCAACTTCTCTTAGATTTGGAGTTCATCATTTCCACGCATGTTTTTAAACCAGTACAAATTTTGCAGATGTAAATAAAAATATCCAAAATATATTTAATAGTGTTTTATACATTAAAAGTATTTAACATCATAGTGTATATCTTCCTGAAATTTGATTTTTTTTGTTCAGGATTAATTTTTATTATCCCAACGAATATATACCTGTGATTCATGTATTTTATCTGCTGTATATATTGTTCCAATATATTATTAAGACACAGTTTGCTTTCCATTCTCTTAATTAAGGACATTCACTTATAACAGCCAACAATTGAGATTTGGGCATGGTGGAGCCTGCCTGTAATACCAGCAGCTCAGGGAGCTAGTCAGAAGAATTGCTAGTTGAAAGATAGCCTCATCAACTTAGCAAGATCCTAAGCAACTTAATAAGAGCCTGTCTCAAAATAAAAAAGGCTGGGGATATAGCTCAGTGGCTAAGTGACCTGGGTTCAATCCCAAGTACCAAAAAAAACATTCATTTTTGGAAGATTTCAGTAAACATTTTTCTCTATTTTGTATTGAACCAATATTCACTGATATTCAAGAATTTCTCCAGGGTGTACATGAGAGTGAGTTACTGCATTCTTTACAAATTCTAGATGCAAAATCTATACCAGTATATCCATTACTATTATTTTCTCCCTCTCTATGGCTTATCTTTTTGCTTAGTTTATGGTTACTTTTGTAGAACAAATGTTTTAGATTTTTATGGAATCAGGTTTATACCTTTTTTTCAGTTGATGTTTTTATTACAGTTTTTTTTTTAAAAAAACTATCTGAAATTCAATAGTCTCCCATATTTTCTTCTGAGTTCTAAGAATTTGTTTTTCATTAGAATTGACCTTTGCATGTGATGTGAGTTAAAGATTTAATTATTTTTTCCATATGGCAAACATTATTGATTAAACAATCCATTATCTCCTGGGTGATCTGTAATTACATATCTGTCAGATATCAAGAATACAGGCTTGAGTGTCTTTCTTAAGCCTGATAATACTATTATCATCATTTTATATTATGTCTTGATATCTACTATGGATAATAACTTTTACCATATTTTAAAAACTATCTTAGTTATTTTAAACTCTTGCTTGGATTAATTGGTTCTTGTATATGAATTTTTAAATTAGCTTGTCAAGTTCTGTACTAAACAAACAAAAGAAATAAACCAAAAAAAAAAAATCACTGTTGGAATTTTGATTGGGATTGTACTGGACTGATGGATTAATTTGGAAAAAGCTGTTGTTTTCACAATACAGAAGACTCTCATCAATGAACATGGTATATCTCTCTATTTAGTTTCTTTTGCATTTCCCAAGGGTTTTGTCATTTATTTCCTACAATTGCCTTACTTACCTTTGTTTAATGTTATTTTTGGTATCCTGGAAATTTTGTTGCTTTTGTAATAAAAACTCTATTTTCTAATTGTTGATGTATTAGACCACAAGTGATTTTGTATAAAAAAATTATTTAAATTTGTGGATTTTCCTATGCTTTAAGTGTAGACAATCAGATTTTCACCAAATAAAGGAAGTTTTAATTTTATTTGTTCTTATTCTACTGAACTACCTAGAATGTCTACTATCAAATAAGTTTCCTTCTATGCCACATTAGTTGACATTCAATACCACTTTCACCTATCTAATATCTTTCCTATACTCAAGGGACATAAATCCGTAAAACTACATTCCCCTAAATCTTTTGCCTGTAAGCTTCCAGTTAGATTCCACTAATGAAAGCTATTTGTATGATACAGGAAGTGGGAAAAAAGGGAAGCCAAAACTCCCTAGAACAAGCTGCATTGTGCATTGGCATTAGTGGATGACAATGGAGGAACTCTGTCCATGACATTTAGAAATCCTCACGAGACTTACCTCTTCTGTGTACACACAGCTCAGAGTATAAGGACATCTTTCCTGTGATGTCTGCTTTAATTTCCTGAAAATTGTCTTCCACATTTTTATTCTCCAGCTTTCCAATAGTTAAACAACTCCCAGCATAATATACCAAGATTATTTTCTATTTTACTAACAAAATCTTACTGATGTAATAACTGGTAATCTCAACTGGAATGTTGCCATCATAAAATAATAACAACAATGATAATAATAATAATAATAATGAGGAGGAGGAGGAGGAGGAGGAGGAGGAGGAGGAGGAGATGATGATGATTTGGCCAAGAAGTAAGAATGAGAATTGTCTTTTGTCTTAGAAGTTATGTTTCAGGTAATCAAGAAACCAGTATTAGGGCTGGGACTGAGACTTAGCAGTAGTGCACTT